TAGAAGCCCACAGCTTTGTGCGGTGCATTGTGGAAGTGACGTGAACCAAAATATAGTCTCGTGCGTGGATTTGTGCTCCTCACTCATTGTCTGCAACATGTTTCTGTAGTTGCCAGCCCCATTATGACAGTGCCCTGTGCTGTTGGTGAGTAACAAAATTGTCTTGTAGAAGTGGTAGAAATGGGTCTGGGGTTCAGGGCAGATGAGGTCTTGGAATGTATCCCTATTTGTTACACTGTAAAGTGGGTTCCCTCTATGCAAATTTGAGTTGTGCATCGTCTTCCAGGAACGCATGTACAGCATAAAGCGAGGGAAACCTGTATTCCTAAACCTGAATTCCTGCCCTGGGCCTCTGGCTTGTGACTGCATGCCCTGAACCTCTGACTTGAACCCTCAGGCCTATCCTGACTGTTTCAGTTCCTATCTTGGACCTCCTGGGGTAGATCAACTGCTTGTCCTGATCAAGACCTCATCTTGACTTTTGGTTTGATGTCAGACCCAGACTGTTACCTAGTTTGAGCTTGACTTATATGCCGGTAACCCCCTGATCTACCATGCTCCACTCTGCCTGACTGCCTATGACCCAATCACCTCCTTACATACATACTCAAAATGAATTGCCATTGGTTCCACTGAGTTTTGCAATATTCAAAGTTTGCAATGTTTTGCTGCTCAGTCCCTCTTTATCCTGCTGCTGAATTCAGTGGGGAAGAGGAAGGAAGGGCAGGCAAATGGCAGTAATGCTCAGCAACTGGGCTCCAGAGCTGACTGAAATCTAGGGCTCCAGGCAGAGCCTGAACTGACATACCTGTGAGCTCAGAGCTTTCATGCACCTCTGAAGCACAGGAGTTAAGTGGCACCACCATTGCTGTTTGGACCCTCTTTTTCCCTGCCACTGAAATATTGGGAGGAGGGGGGAGGGGGGGAAATGATGGCTTTGCTCAGCTTCCTGACACTGGAGCTGCATAAGAGCTCTGACCTCACTGGCATGTCAGCGCAGGTGAATGTAACTGCTGCTCACACCCTCCTTTCCCATTGCTGAATCCAGCAGCAAAGAAAAGGGAAGGAGCAACAGGAGCATTTATATTGGGCCATTCACATTGGCTCTGTGGGTTAAATCTGACAGCCATAAGTTCAGCTTCACTATTCCACATTCACGTTAAGAGATAGTCTGTACACGTAACCCCTGCTTAGCACTCTTAATTGGTTGCAGAAAAAAAAAAAGTGTTAAGCAGAACCATGCTAAGTGAGACCCATTTCTCCATAGAAATGAATGTAAATAGTGATAATCGGATACCGCCGCTGCCTCTCCCCACCCTCCCCACCTGCCCTCTGGCCACTCCAGCCCAACGTGCTAACCCAGGTCCCACGCTCCTGCTGCTCTGCCCTGGCCCCCACCGGCCCTGGCCATAGGTACTGGTAAGGGCCCCGCACTCATGTCCACTGCACCACTTGCCACTTCTCACTGCCGCCTCTCCCCACCCCCCTGCCCACCCTCCAGCTAGGCACTCAGGCCCCTCGTGTCAGCCTAGACTCTGCGCTCCTGCCACCCTGCCCAGGGCCCCTGACAGTCCTGGACCCAGGCACTGGCATAGGCGCTGTGCTCACACCCCCACCCCCCCAAACTCATCGCTTCTCCCCAGCCCCTACCTGCCAGCCACTCTGGTACCATGTGCCAGCCCAGGTCCTGCACTCCTGCCACCCCGCCTCGGGCCCCTGGCGGCCCTGGCTCCGGGGCACCAGCACAGGCCCTGTGCTCGTGCCTGCCTGCCCAATCACTACCACACACCACTTCTTACCACTGCTGCTTCACCTGCCCACCTGCTGAAACTCTCTGATTCCACTGAGTGCTATAGCAAAACTGGCTGAGTGCTCAGTGGAATCAGGTATGAATTTTCAATGAGTATTATAACAAAATAGTGTTAACTGAAAACACCTTAAGCAGGGGTTGCCCGCATACTGTTTCATACAGGGCTAAATTGGCAAGACAGGCAAAGGCAATATTATTATTCTCATTTTAAAGAACAATTAATGCTCAAAACAATATACACTTTACCCACACTGAAGTAAAAAAAAAATTGCCCGAGATATGTGATCATTTAAACTAAAATTTGAACTGAACTTGAAAACCTCATGGATGTATGCTCTCTTCCCTGAATACACAGACCATCTATTAACTTTAATGGGATTTCTATACAACACAGTGATGACAACCAACCCCTCCAGTAGCAGTGCCTGCTGCTTATCTACATGGGATTAATCAGCTATTCACTTCACCAACATTTCCATTAGGATGAAAGAATCAGAGGCACTTCCTCTGACATTATGATTTAGTTTTCCAGTTAGATTTATTAACCTAGGAAAATTACAAATGCATTTGCTAAGCCATAAACTCTGAATTGGTAACAATTTGCAAGGACAGAAAAAGTGTGTATGTGTGCATATATATAAATATTTCTATATATATAAAATTAAAATTCATGCATATGCTTCCTGTACCCTATTATACATCTGGACAAGAAATAATTACATGCAGTTCTAAGAAGTAAAGCTAACAGCAACTATATTACACACAGAAAACAGGCATTAGAAGTGCCATGTTGGGTCTATCTCAATGCTACATTTTTAATTAAGCAGAAGATTATGTGAAGTGCAGTAAAATGTTCTCTTGATTGGTCTAATCTACTACAGGAGTATGGTTTTCTGATACCAGTGAGGTCCTGGTGAAATAAATAATTGATTTATTAATCTTCTATGCAATTGTATTTGCTTGAGAAAGGGATTTCATAGCTAACTAACGAATTTGGATGCCTAAATGAATGAGAACCTGGCATCCAAATCATTGAGGCCTCTGTGGAGATCTCATCCTTGTTATACTATGTTGAAACTATCTCTTAGTGTGATACAAAGAGGAGGGCTCTGAAGCCAATGCAGATTGGTCCTGGTTCCTGGTTAGAAGCCACAAGCTAGTAGATTCCATTTTTTCAGTTCCTGCACCTCTTTTGTATTTTGTACCTATACCTCATAAAAAAGAAAATAATCTTCATACACAGAGAAGACCAGTATCATCACCCCTCAGTAACAGTGGAAGAGGCCTAAGTTCTGTGAAGTACACAAAAAGTAGTATCCTGGTTAAGAACTCCAGGTACCTGTACACATGCTGGGAGGCTGCTCCGATGCACTGTAATTACAGCATGGCAGAGAAGACTTGATTAATAGAGTCTGCTGGAGAAAGCTAATTAGCATGCTCCTGCCAGCCTCTGTATCTGTGTCCCTACACTTCAAAATGGCGGCAGGGGTGTTTAACCAAAGCTCATTTGGTGAGCTTTAGATAAAGTGTCCCCACCACCATTTTGAAGTGTGGGAACACAGATGCAGGAGACACTCTAGGCACTTTAATTAGAGCGGCTTTCAGAGCCACTCTAATTAGAGCACCCCACACCAGGAGCATGTGTAAAAAGGTCCTCCATGTATGCTGTCCCACCAGCCATTCCCTAATCTGATAGACTGCGGTTCTACTGAAACAAGTCAAATACTGTTCAAATACTGGCAACATTTGCATTCACTAAAATCAATTCCAGGAAATTAATGGAGCTTAAATTTAGGCCAAGGTGTAAGTACTTTTTTCTGTTTTGGGGAGTAAGTATTTTTTGTAATAATAATAATAAAGAAGATTGCTTAGCAGGTTCAGGAATATAGATATAATCATACATTATTATCGTTCTTGTTCTTGTTGCTTTTTATTTCTGTTTATTTTTGTTCCCAATTGACTAGGCTGAAAATGTGATTTTACATTAGACATGAGCAAGTGAATTAATTTATTTAGCAAAAAGTACTCTCCTGTATTATAGAATAGTTCTTTAAAAGATTATGAACACTTGAAATCATTTAGCATTTCCCAGTTGATAAATATCAAAGACATTAAAATAAATAACTTAACAAGACTGAGCTACTTGTTCCAGATGTTGTGGGCGAAGATAATGAAGTGTTATCTTTTGAATAAAATGGTAAGTTGTAGGTTTCTCTTATGCTATGCTTATGGTCTATGTTCAAAAAACTTTTCAAGATGAAAACTTCCACAGTAAAGGATAATAGGATACATCCTTTGCTGGTATCCATTGACAGAGAGTTCCAGTGATTCTAGCTTTGATTTATACCAGCTGAAGAATTATTTATAAGTATCTAACATTAATAAAGAACCATGTATCTGTGCCCTGTTAGACGGAAGCCTAGGATACTGTGTTTATATCCTGTTTTTGCAAAGAGCACTTCAACATCAAGACATTGACTTGGCTGCACTGGATCCATATAATCACACATTTACTGTACAACCTTCTAGCAAAGCACAAGGAACTCAGATACCAGATTGGCATGAAAAACTTCATGATTAAAATATCTGTGAGGTATTTTGTCAGCCATTGTTTACTATATAGTGAATCCCCTGTATCCAGTTCCTTCATTCCACTTCTCCATGATTTGAATTGAGTTTATATCCCTGCATTTATGTAATTAACAAAAAAACCCTCTCTCTTTTAGCAAAGCGTCCCATATCAGAACATACCCTTTGGCTTCCTTCCCATTTGGAGAAAGGAGTTCTACTGCATATATTTAGAAACTAAAAAGAGTCTACAGTACCAGAGTGGCCCAAATATTTGCAAATATCTTATAGAAATGTTACTACTTTTCCTAAAGTGTATGTTTAAGAATCAAGATCTGAAATAACTGCTGCAATTTCATAAGCCTCAAGACATAGGGCACATTTGATTTCACTCCTCTTCCAGCAGGTATAAAAGGAGGCAGTGGTTATTTAATTTGTGAATCTTACAGAATATGAGGAAAACCAACTGAAAGGTCTGTGAATACATATGTTCTGAAAATCTCAGGTAAGAAAAAGGAGATGAAATCAATTTTTAATAGCATTTTGACACCAGAAACAGTTATCCATAAACGGCAGCTTTTGAATCATGCACTCCAGTGCACCCAAAACAGCATGCACTCACCTTATCCACAATGCAGATCTGCTTTTTGCTTTGGGCATCAAGGATTTCTACTTCAAAGTAAGTGATTTTTGAATGTCTGAGAACTGGTGGTTGTCTGAGATGGCCAGCAGAGAGCACAAGCTGAGACAAGCTGTAAAAAGACCTTGTGTCATTTTGTGGCAAAGACAGTCCGACTCCATGGGCTGCAAAGTTCCTCTTCTCTATAGCACTGGGCTTATGCCTCCTGTACATTGTATGACCCAGTGGTAGCAACTATTATGTCAACACAGGGCAGTTCCAAGGGAAAATGTGTCCTCCCTGCATCAGTTAAATATGATCACAGACTGATGGGACATGAAGGTCAAGTGGCATTCCATTTTGAGAGTCCAGTCTTATTTAGCAGGATTGAAAACAATGGCTCTCTAATCCATTTCTATATTTAACTTGCTATTATGATGTACCACATTGCCTTTTTTTCTTTTTTTAACCAGCATTTGAAATAGCATGTCCTACTTACACCCTTTATCTTGATTTCCTAATATGACAAACCAGCCCCTGAAATTCCAGAACCTGAAAGAAATCAGGAATTAAACCCAATGAATTCCATCATTATCTATGCCAAATATTTAAAAGTGTCCATGTATGAAACATATATCAAATGTCATCTATTCTAGGGATGCTTGTTAATGCCTGCAGGGACAGTAAACAACAACAAGCTAATAGGAGTTCATAAGCAGAAAGTGTTTTCCTTAGGATATATAAAAAACTAGAACTCTTGGTTCCAAAATGATACCTTTTATTAGACCAGCTGGAAAATGGCAAAAAAATTGTCCTTTTCTGCATGCTTTCAGGATCAAAGTCCCTTCGTCAG